AAGGGTTACTAGAATGGTGCCTGGGATGGAGGGGGTTGTCATGTGAGGAGAGGCTGAAATATTTGAAATTGTTTTCTCTTGAAAAAAGAAGAGCTAGGGGGGGGATCTGATTGAGGTGTTTAAGATTGTAAAGGGAATTGATAGCGTTGATGTATCATCATTTTTCATACTTAACAGTGAGAATAGTAGGACTGGGGGACACAAATATATATTTTGGTAGGGTATGAGTCATCTTCAGCTAAGACAGTTTCATTTTTCTAACAGGGTAGTTGGCCTTTGGAATGGTTTGCCTTCAGTTGTTGTAGAGGTAGTAAATTTAAGTGAGTTTAAGAAAAAGCTTGATAAGTATATGAATGATAAAGGCTGGCTTTAAGATTTTTTTAAGATTTAGTTTAGAAGTTGGAACAGCCAAGATGGACCAATAGGACCTGTATTATCCCAAAACATTATGTTATGTTATATATTGTGAAATATACTTTAAAGTTTGAATATAGAATTTATTTTTGATGTATTTTATTCTCATTTATGATTTAAGGCAATGAATAATGGTTTTGTTAAGTTTTTGAATGAAGTAATTCACAATATTTTATTTTATAAATTATATTTTTTCCATTTAAAAAAATAGGAATATGAAGTGGTTAAACAAACAGACTACATTATATTTATGGCTTATTACCCTCTGGTTGTCATTTCAATGGTGTTGGCTGCTGTTAATGATTCAGTTCCTGTTGAGATTAACAAAATTCTAGAGGTCAGTATTTGTTTTTTTTATAATAATAAAATATTATAATGCATTTTTTTACAAGAAACTATAAAATTAGGCTGAACAATATGCATATGAGAATTTTATTTTGTAAATACTATTGTTATGTATGTAGTTTTATATTTCTAATAAATTTTACTGCTTGGATAATGTCTTTTCAGGCAGATTGTGCCACAATATTAAGAGTAAAAGCACATAAAAACCGATGTTTTTTGTCAAAGTAAATGGTACAATCTTTATTATTAGTTACAGAAAACTAGTTTCCGTAACCTTATGGTGGTAACAGTGTTACTAAAACTAGCTAGCTATAACAAATAATAAAGATTCTATTGTTCATTGTGCCAAACAAGTTGGTTTCTTTGTTTTTTACTCTTCATATACTGCTTGGACTTTAATCATATAAGTATGTAATGACTACAAAAATGTCTAAAAAATTAATTTAAAAAAAGATGTTTTTCTTTTCTTTTGAGTCAAACTACTTGTATGAAAATCCTACACACCTCACTCTCACATTGTCCCCAGTGATACATTTATGGACTTTCAACACTAAAACTCAGCATTCATTCTCCTGTGGTGGACAGAGTTCAGATAACCTACTGTGTGGTTTTGAGCTAAACCAAACAATTGTTACGACATCGAGGTCATGTGACTAGTATCACATCACGTCGTTCTCGAACATTCACGTCCTTTCCTTAAATCTCGTTATCCTTCTAGATATAGCATAGTCTTGTATATATAAGACCGGCCACGAAGCGACGGGGAGGATGAGTAATTGAATGTATGCTGACAGAGAGAATATCGTTGGGCACGTGAAACGTTCGTCGAGAATTATAACGTTTGTTATAGAGCGACTGTTGAAATTAAGTGTATCGTAAAGTTGTATTTGGAAAGAATAAACCAGTTTTATTTAAAAAAAGGACTTGTGTCGCTAAAGTTTCGTCAGAACGAATTTACGGAAAATTAACTAACGACTGGAGGCGTAACACAAACTTCACATAGTATATGTTTACTATCCACATCATTTTTGTATTTTCCTAAGTTCTAACCTGGAACATCCTAAACCTGGTTGAAGTTGTGTGCTAAATTCAATCTACATTCTGTAGACTATTTGGTCAACACGTTTACTGTTTCATGGGATGGAAGAATTATCTTATGTCTGTCACATTGAGCAGGATTCTTCTACCTTCTGATGCCCATTTTCTGATTGTTCAGTGATAGAGAGAAGTGGTATTGTCAATACAGTTTTGAAAATTTCTGATAGAGATTGATTTTAACCTATGAAAAGAGCACTTATTTTTTTTAAGCTCCAAGACATTTTGATGAAGCCCATTCTTTATCGTGCTGTATTCTTTTTTATCTATATATCATGTATGCTTCATTTGGATTATTTTGTGACTTGGGCAAATAAAAGGCAGATGACCTTTAATTATAATAAATGCAATGTAATGTATGTGAGGTATCATAATTTGAATTATGACATAATTTTGATAGGAATAAGCTTAATAGAGTTATGGAAGAAAATAATCTTGATATTCTAGTTGATCATTCTCTTAAGCCTATCAAGTAGTGTGCTATTGCTAGTGGTAGGGCAAATAGGATTTTGTTTGTTTTTAATTATGCACAAAGCTACACAAGGGCTATCTGTGCTCTGCCCACCACGGGTATCGAAACCCGGTTTCTAGCGTTGTAAGTCCAGAGACATACCACTGTGCTACTGGGGGGCAAATAGGATTTTAGGTTGTATCTACAGAAATATTGAAAAGGGTTCAAGTAGGGCTACTAAGATGATATCTTGGATGGAAAGTTTGTCATACAAGGATAGGTTAAGATCTCTGAAATTGTTTTCTTTTTTTTAAAAAAAAAGAGTTCAGTGGGATCACATTGAGGTATCATCTTTCTATTGTACATATTGGTGAGAATAGTAGGACTAGGGTACCCAAATACATATTTTAGCAGGGTAGGAGCCATCTTCACCTAAGGTGATTAGCCTTTGGAATGAGCTGCCTTCAGATGTGGTAGATGCAATAACTTTAAGTGAGTATAAGGGAAGGCTAGGTAAATATTTGAATGACAAGGGTTGGTTTAGAGTGTTTTATTTTTATTTTAAAGTTTAGTAGATGGGATGACAACAGGTCCCTTGTTGTCCTTAAATTTTATATTATGTTATTTTAACTTTGTTTTTGGGTTAAGGTTGTTTGAATCTACTTTTATTTAAATATCTTTTATTTCCTGTTGTTTTAATACACCTCCAGTGCTAGAGAATCAGCTATAATCTTCTTTCAACTTCATTAAAGCATTTAATTTTGCTTAGATTTCAACACTGTTTGTGTCATCTCTTTCATTTCATGTGTACCATATCACCACACTGTCATGTTTTGTGAATATGGGCTGGGATACTTTTACAGTAGGTGTCTGTGAGTTGTTTGCGATAAATTCAAACAATAAGTGGACAACACACAATCCACTTGTTTTAAAATAATATATTCAAAACAAGGCAAATGTATGTACAAAAATTCTTTATACTATAGGATATCACAGTTGTATCTAAAACTCTAAATAATTCTCCCTTTTTCTTGTCAAAAGTCCACACAGGCTAGTTCAGTAATTTTAGAACTCAATTGACAAGACAAATTATTTTTATCTACTATGTTTCTTACTGCACAATCTTCAATAGATTCACTTACGTGACTCATAGGGTACCACAGTTGTATCCAGAACATCAAATAATTGTCTTCTTTTTTTTGTTCACTGTAAAACTCACTTTAAATATTGCTTGTTACGGCTAAACTAAGTCACACAGTCTAACCTCACTTTCACCAACTTAACGTTTTCTGAATTAACTTGTACTCATTTGGTCACCTAAATATATACATCGCCCAACTGAGGCCTAGAACTTTCTGCAAACTACAAGATGCTATGATGTAACAATACTCACTTAAGGGAATGAGAAAAATACTGAACAATCGAGTAAAGTAACATTAAATTACAACAATTGAACTACACACACAATGTACGATTCTTACCGAGTTACATAATGAAAGTTGTCATAACTACCATGTTTAAAATAATTACTTTTAATACTCTTGTTATGAAAACTAAATAATCATTAAATATTAGATAACTAAATGGACTAAATAATAACTCTTTTTACCAAACAGTCTTGTATATCCAACAATAAGTCTCTCTTCAATAAAAATATTTACAATGTATTTTTTTTACTATATACAAAGACTATTCTTAGTTCATACAGTCTACACCAACATTTGCAGTCCCCTTGATGCCTTCAATATAAAACCTGTAGTTCTGGAGGTATAATGCCCATGATCCTCACACTGTCGATTTTGCACCCCTGGATGTATGCAAGTGGTAGATGGTCCATCTGGATGATTAACTCCTTCTCATACAGGTAGTTCTGTAACTTCTGGATGGCAAATTTGATGGCCAGACACTCTCATTCAATCTCAGCATAGTTCTGCTCACTACCCAATAGCTTTTTACATACATACGTTACCGGAAACAATCCGTCTTCATGTTATTGTAAGAGTATTGCCCCTATTCCAATGTCTGAAGCATCAGGCTGAACAATGAATGGTTTGTTGAAGTCTGGCATTCTAAGAATTGGTGAGCTTCCCAACATGTTCTTTAATTTGTGGAATGCCACCTGGTGTGGTTGTTCCCATTTCACCTTGTTGGGTAAGCCTTTCTTGGTCAGGTCAGTAAATGGTGCAATAACTTCAGCGTAGTTTGGGATGAACTTTCTGTAGTATCTTGCTAACCCCAGGAAGGATCTGACTTGCTGCTTGGTCGTTTGAGCTGGTATATCTTTTATGTGGGTTATCCTTTTCAATGGCTATCTTTCGGTCACTTACCTTGTGTCCAATAGACTCCAGCACAGAATAGCCAAAGTAGCACTTAGGTGGTCAGACCTGCTGCCTTCACTCATCTGAGAAGCTCTCTAAGTTTCTCCAGGTCTTCCCATCTGGCTGTGTGTGTCAGAATACCGTCCACATAATGCTTGAGATTGGTGGTTTTGTGCAAAATCGACCTTTTCATGCAGTTGAATGTTGCTGCTGAGTTGACTCACCCAAATGGTGTCCTTTTAAATTGGTAACATCCATCTGGTGTCACAAATGCTGTCTTCTCTATAGATCCTCTCTTCATTGTGAACAGCCAATAACCTTTACTGAGGTCGGTTTTTTTAAAAGAATCTGGCCTCATCTAGTTTTGCCATGATAGCCTCTGGGTTGCCCATAGGTTTGGAGTCATACTTCATCAGAAGTTTCAACTTCCAGAAATCTGTGCAAAAGTGGTTTGAGCCATCCCTCTAATTCACAGTTACCACTGGTGAACAGTAGGCTGAATTTGAATACTCAATGATTCCAGCTTCTAACATTTCCTAACTTCCTGCTTTATCATGTCTCTCATCGCATAGGGCATCTGACATGGCTTCACCTTGACTGGATCCCAGGTTATGATCTGGATCTTATGTTGCACAAGGTTTGTCATGCCTGATTTGTCTGTGAAGACATTCGCATACTGGCACAGTAGATCTCGTGGTTTTTTCTTCTTTTTGCCACACAATTCCTCACTGATGTTGACATCTTTGCATGTCTTCTCTCTACTCAATGGTCTTAGGTCTAGTAGGTCTTCATCTTCTATGACAAAGTCACTGTCTTCTTGTTCTGTGTCTATGACAGCTGCACCTGTTAGGTTTTCTTCCCACT